ATTCAGAAGAAAAAACATGCCCCGTAAGCAAGATCGTGCATATAACACGGTTCAATTGTAAGAAATTATTAGTATTGTTAAGAGGCAGAAAATTTAACATTATTATTTGCGAATAATGACATAATTCTAAATTTGTGCGGTGTGAAACCCATTTCCATGCTTTTGCAGGTGAGGGCAAAACGTGTTAATACATGTGACATGAAGCCCATTAATACGAGCCCTGCTACACGAGCGGCTTGGTCAACAACAACTTGACTCCTGTTGTGTGTGAATTTCTCCTCTTGCCTCGACCTCCATCCGACCAACTCCACATTTTGATCGAATGGGGAAAGTGTGCTGCTTCTCATTTTTGTGTGTGTGTGAGCAGCAAAAGGTTTTTTTCTTTCTCCAACTATTTCCAGCTATGTAGGATTTCTCTCATTTAATACAGCTCATAAATCTCCCACACACAATTAGACATACCTCTGCCTCCCTCCTGCCATTTGCGGCACGATCGGAGAACAACTTTTCGACATTTTTGGATTAAGACGTCCACTCACCCACCCAAAATCCATATATGTGTACAAAAAACTGCGTATGTATGTAGTGGCTAAGTTATTTTTAGTGATATGGATGTGTAGCCTACGTAGAAAAACGTAGTGGGCTGGGCGGAGAGCAGATTACGCTTGTTTCCCGATTACATAAATTGGCCATTTTACCAAAACCTCGAAAATAATAAATTCATTTATCAGGATATGAACATGATTATGAAATTCTGTACAAAACACCCACTCGTAATCCTTAATCCGCACCACTTGAGAATAAATATCCACTTGTTTGTGTAATTTGTTTTGCTAAAATGAGGGAAATGAAACAAGAGCAACTCAATTAATCAACTTCCGTCTCAACGAACTGTCCACGTTCGTTGTAGGGTTTTTGTGAGTATTTGAGCTATTTTGGTGCCACTCATCACAAAATTAATTAAATAGATGCAATTAAGTCAAGTCCCTGCCCCCAATGATGAAGGGTAAATGTGCAACATGGAAATAAGCGAGTGATGGATTAAACCGAGACTGTGAGAGTTTTATTATCAGACAAATCAAACGGATGTCAAAGTGATATGATCAAAGGACATTTTCTACTACTCACTCTTGGCATACGTACACAGATGAATATAAGTGGTCGTCTCGAGTAGTTGCACATATGAACGTGTACATATGTACACATCCACTCTTTTTGTCTCTCTTGGTCTAAAAACAATGAGCGACAACTTGAAAAAATCCTCATGCTACGAGCCACCCCTAACAAGTTGGGCAAGACTCATATAAGGTTCACAAAGAATCTTCTTCTCCGGATTCATTAAGTATCACCAGGAGCAATAAATTTGTCCACTGAGCCAACCCAGCCAGACATGGTTGATCTTCTTCTTCTGCTACTTATGGCCTACAGTGGCTGAGTTTGTCGTCAACTTTCCCTCTGCCATAATGTCACCAGCACGTTGGGTATATTGCAAGCAGTATTCACACAACATTGCACAGCAATCTCCTCCGTGTGTCATTTACACCTTTTGTTCTTGATCTCCTTGAGACGACGGGATAAATAAAAATTATGATTGGATGGAGTGTGTGCGAGATCCTGAAACAGACCCAGACGTGAACGGCAGCTCGCTCTCGCTTCAATAACAAATCAAACAAATGGCTCCGGTTTTCTAAATTTGCAGCACATGTCATGTTACGTACGTATCTTGTGGAAGATGATCCCCAAAATTGCCATCCGACAGATATCCAGATACAACACAAACGGCGCCACAAAGTGGAATGGAATGAAAGACTTGTACGATCTTTGCTACTTGCCACACCATCCACATCCACACACACACAAGTCCCTACGGCTTTAATTGGCTTGGCTCTTGCGTAACTGGTTGGGTCTCGTCCTCAGAGTGTAATTTAGAGGATGTTTTTGTCTAAAAAGGAGAACGACGATAAAATCCCACACGAATTTACTATTTATTTATTATACTGCATAAACGTCGCTATAAAGCTCCCAGAAGGAATGCGAATTCAATTGAACTGCTTACAACAACTGGCTTGTTAGCTAACTAAATTGTCCATTGATATCAATTAAGCTTCACATAATGTTTTGTGACTCGCCAAATTGCTCCCACAGAAAAGGAGATGGTGATGATGATGGCACTCTTTTCAATTATTTACAAGTGTAGAAAAAGTGCATCTGCAGTTATGTATGGGACGCGTATGAGTCATAAACGTTTCTGGGGATGGGTTACTGTTTTGCATATTAGGATAGTTTTGATATCTAAGATTTTGCAGAGTTCGGTGGGTGCAAGAAGTCATTCTAATAAATTATATATTTATACCAAATAAATTATCTAATAATACGAAGTGACCAATTTTTTCGTTAATATTCTCAATATTTCATGCACATATAAGGTGTCCTCATTCTATTTATTCTCCAAACAAGAACATTAGGTAAGAAGAATATCTTTTAATAATCCACGCCTAGCTTTTGTATGTATGCACAACAGTTGATGGTGCAATGAGAGTCATCATGATGTTATTTTGCTAAAATATTTGCACAGTAAAAGGTCATGCATGAACAAGTTTAAAAAATTACACAGTGTTTGCAGAACATTCAAATAAACAGAATTTGCCAAGAGGAGACCGGGCCATGTTTGAACTGGGATGCATTAATCCTATATAACGATGAGGAGCGTCGTAAGTGTCTGAGGAGAGGACTTTGAGTAAATCAGAAGCTGTGAATTTTTTGGAGCTTTTCTCCAGACTACTCAGTCACCACGCTCCATTTAACAACACTCTCGTTCCTCGTTCGAGAGTAGTCTCAACTCCAATTTTGAAATTGGGAAGCAAGTGATTATTGAACACAAGAAGGCACATCGCACACAATACATGATTTCCTAGAGCTTCTTTTGAAGACTGTTTGCGTAATCCTCAAAAAATTATCTGTTCACCTGAAACTCATTTAAAATTGTGTCCGTCCCAAAATCCCCAGTACATAAAAGAAGAGAGGAAGGATGGATCCATACATGGATGGATGAAATGCAACAGCTTTTGCATATACAGACAGGCACGCAATGGAAATCTTGGTAGAGTTGAGAACCTATTGATAAGCAGGGTTATGACTTGTTTTGGAAATTAATAACCCTTGGGACTCGAAAGTATGCGAGTGGAGTTTGTCCTTTAACAAGATGAGAGAGAAACTCCATTTTCCTATTGCAAAACTTTTCCAGCGAAGAGAACATGTTTCTTCCATCGAAAATGTATTGAGAAATGTGAAAAATGTTAATGCCCCGAAGAGAGTTTACGAATTCCCCGTGTGGAGCACAATTTTTGCACTTTGAATAATGGGAGAGGAAGTTTTCAGTTTCAGAGTCATCAAATCCGGTTAAATTGCATGAACAAGTAGCGATTGAAAGCAAAGCAACAATGTGTATCGACGTGTGAGTGAGACAGGTTGAGTTCTGGGTGACTTTTGCCTTGCTTCGGTGGACGAGGAGGACGAGGCAGTTTGGGCAAGTAGCACATTTAATGGATTTGAATTGAAATTGACCAAGCAAATGTAGATTTTTTTTCGCCACACGTAGTGTTTTACCAATGATTTTCCAATACGCCTAGAAATAGGATTATCCTATTGGGTCAGAGATAACGGATTTATATTTCAGTCCTTACATGCACTGCTCCTATGTGTATAACTGGATGTGTATATTGCTGCCTGGCTTTTTATGGGAGTACTCACTTAAACTCAAACTCTGCAGTGGATCACCTTTTTGCCCGAGCACTGTGCATTAATGTAATGTTCTCCAGAAAAAGAAGGTCGAGATGGAGAGCAGCAGTGTTTCAGATCTTGGTTTCTCTCATTGTTCAACTCCATTGCCTCTGGTCCTGGTTTGCGAAACCGATTCGGTGCGTGTGTGGTTGGTTGGTTGGCGGTGGGTAAGAAAAAGAAACGAAATGCATCCATCATCATCGTACCCTTGTCTTCCACGGACCACATCATTGTTATCGGGAGACATGGAGGAATCTTGATCTGAATTTCAATCGTGGAGTTCATGTTCATCAAATGAGGATGACATTTTCAGGGGAAAATATGAAACCTGTCTTCATTTATACTGCTCATTCACCTGAAAACGGTTTGAAATGGGAAATTATATAGTTTCATAACCTATCCGCGCTGAAGATGAGTGCTGGTTTAGTAGCGGGGACAGGAAAAGAAAAGGGCAATTTAACTTTATTTGTAGACTTGAAACATCCAGTTTTCCAATAGTTCCCCACCCACCAAGCCCCTAATACTACGTGCATTCTTCTTCTTCGTACATACATTCACCGTCCGACAGTTTCCCTAATGCTTCCGCATTTCTGAAGTTGACGGAAAATTACGATTTGACTTAATACTTCAACTTTCAACCTTCCAAGAAATAAGGAAGATCTGTTGTTGCCTACATCACATCTCTCTCCAACGACTGACTGAATGCATCGCATTACATTATTGGAGCATTAAGAGTGTTGGCATGGTTGTGCAACCGTGCTGGTTTTGAAGCGGCTGTCGTTGCTTATCCGAAAGTCGATAAGTCTTGTTTCTCCTCAACCCACCCCGAAAAACGGACGGAGAGCAGGTTGTGCTGGTGCTACTACTATTTTCCCAAAGAGTTTTACTTTTACTCGATGAGAAACCCCAGCCAACTTTTAATACTTTCTGGTTCCAAGTTGAATCACAACTCCACTATTATTGAGCTTTGCCTACCACTTACTTCTTCATACTCTGGCCACACGCCTCCTACATACGTTACGTACACCCACCAGGAAAACCAACCCAGAGTCAAGTAGCACATGAGAGACAAGGAATGGTTCAGTCGGCTAATACATACATAGCGTTGGATAATATAAAACGGGATAAGGTGGAGAACTGAAACCTCACTTGCTACTCTGAGAATTTGAGACTTTTCTATAGCAGAGAAGCAACACTGTTGCTGCTGGTACTGGTTTCGTTCGTTCGCAACTTTGCTCATTTCAAGATTTCAGTCCAAACCATTGTGTGAGAGGCGTATCGACAGGAGCTGGCGTGGATAAGCAACAGCTCCAGTGGGGAAAAGTTAACAAGTTAAGTGCATACACAAGTCTACTACTCGACCCGAGAAAAAAGTCCAACAACCGACATGGAATAGTCATCAAGTGAAACAATTCTCCCTCCAAGTTTGGCATTGATTCGTGTCATTTTTAGATAAAAAAATTCAATTGAAATTCCGAGTTGAATAATCCACCTGCTCGAAATTCCAATAAACTCTTTATACGCATCAATAGTACGGAGTAAGTAGCAGGCTTATCTCACAAGGCAAAGTTTTGTCGTCAGTGTTCCGCCTTTCCACCACAACACACGAGTCTTTGTGTTTGGTTAAGGTGCATACATTTCAATTGGAAGTACGAAACTATGACAAGTTATACGTTCGTTTCTTGGAACGAGTGAAAGTCAAAGTGGATAAAAAACCTTCTTTTTGGTGTCTTTCTACCAAAGGAGACTTCATTCAAGAGCGAGTAAAGTACAGCACGGCAACAAAAGAAGTACAGCATTGTTTCCACATTGTAACGTGAGGAGATTTTTTCTTAAACCAGTTCATCCTCAATCCTTCCTTCTCCTTTACGAGCTTAGAATTCAGCTTGATGGTTAGAATGCTCTTTGACATGGACGGCCTTATTCGTAACTTTAAACTTGCAAGTCGTGTAGCATATCGGGGAGCCGAAATCACGCATTGGAATGTTTTTTTGCATAAGCATACGACGATCGGAGATATGAGATACGAATCGGATCAAGGTTTACAAGTCACGAGGGACTTGAACGATGCGACTGAAAACTGTTGGCGTGTCGTATAAATATACGTATAAGGCGGTTCAAGTCACTTGTTTATTTGATAAAGTCAGTCATTTCACAGAAAACTGTTGTTGTACTTCAGTTATTTAATACTGCAAACAAATCCTTCAATCAACAAACAGAAGTCGCATTCGTATTAAATAAAATAAATATTAGAGTTTAACAAGGCTTGTTGATTGTAGGATTATTAATTCTCAGTTTGCCCCTGGACAACCAGACAATTGACGTGCAGTCAGTATATATTTAGATCCACGCACCAGACAGGATTGATCAACGAGAATGGTCACGTTGTTTACGGTGTGTCATTGTCTTGGGGAGAATCTTCGGAGACAAAGTGATGGTTCGGGTTAAAAAAAGCTCTAAGAAGGGCAGTAAGCATTGACTGCTGATGGCTCGCATAGATTCTCCTCTGCTGCTGCTCCCAAACTGGTTGTTATGAATATGGTGGGATGACTTATCTAATGCCACACTTTTTTTCAAGCTGAGCAAATGTGGCTTTCGAGATATAACCGACACTGACGAAATGCAATTTTTTACAGCAAAATCCCAGTTCGCCCTATACAAACTCGAATAGCATAGCACAGCATAACTTGGCTAATCCTGCTGTTGTACTAACCTCACCAAACTCTAAAGTAAGACGGAGAACACACACCAACCACCAAGTCGACACGAAAGGGAAAGTCGTCGTCTCATCTGCAGTGTGAAGCAATTGACTTTCTCATGATAACCAAGTCGTCCATCGATCACACAGAGAAAGACTTACAATTCAGTTATAGGTGTGTGTTCCTGGTGGTGAATGAAGGACTTAATCTCCTTGTTTTGTGCGTGGGTCGTGCGGAAGTTGGAATTTGAAAACAGTTTGGTTGGTCGGCTAGTTGTCGAGGGATTTCAGTATTCACGGCCGAATAAAGTAAAGTAAAAACCCGGTGGATTGGATATGGTCGTATTCGCAAACAGTGGTCAGAGATTACATTTCATCTCACGTCCGGTTAAATCCTCAAGGAAAATAGAGAATTGGGGTGGGATGAAAGTCTTCTTCTTCTGCTCTGTCACACACTACGGAGTTAGGCAACCGATCTTAAACTGCTCTAATGAACTCCTCCGTCTTTTCCACTTCTCTTCATTAATCACACCGACGAGGCCAAGATCAGGTCTCACGACTGCTACCTTTCTCTCACAACAAACCAAACCACGGGCTGACTTTATGTTGAGACGAAACGGCCCTACGTATGGGTAGCACGTCATTATAATGACCAGCCGGGTGGGTTGGCTCATCAGTGCTAAGGAAGCAATGCACTCGGTTGCATATGGGTTCATATCAGACAGGAATTATCTGTTAAGGACCACTTACTCACGTTTCGGCACTTTCGTTCGGCACTGTTTTTATTAGTTGCACTACCACCGGTCAGCCAACTAGCTACACACTTCTTAGAAGAGCAAAAGCATGCATTATTTGAGTCAATAAGTAGTTAATGAAGTTCGTTTTATGTTTCCTTCAACAGAGAGAATAATAAATAAACAAGAGGAGAACAAATGGGACTAGTACTCCACTTCACCACTTTGGATAAATAAACAGCATGATGAGGATACTTAACACCGCGACAAAAACTAATCAGGGGAATGACTTCGCTTTTGTCTTGTGATCTTTCCAGTGATTCTCTTCCTCTGCCTTCCATCCGTCTGCATGTGTTTATTCACTATCTCGTAAATGAGACTGGGTGAGTGAGTAAGTGCAGACGAACGAGTGATGACTTTAGTGTAATGGTAGCTCTCTTCTTCTTCCCTCTGCATATTTACATGTGTAACAACAATTCGACATTTGCTGATTAAATGCATACATACACAGGATCATGCAGTAAATACTTGGTTGCAGCCACATCAGTTTCGCCTATGCATATCGCAACCTAAACAAACAAAGAGTTCAGTTTTTGCATACTTTCGAACGACTCCTACATAAATACACTCCGAGTGCATTACGGAGTATAACAGAATTGGCGAAAGCTTCCCAACTTCTCGTCCTTATGCACATCCTCGTCCTCACGCAGAGTTTTGTAATTATTTCAGTGCAAACCACCAAAAGGACATCAGAACAAAGTGTTCACGGGAAATATACCTATCGAGCTGGAAACATAAAGCAAACAATTTTAGTTGGATGCGTATGTATGTATTAGATTGAAAAATAAATCAATTTTGGAGTAAGCAAGAAGATAAAACCACAGTAATTTCGGGATGTTTGTGGAGAAATTTCAATCCCGCTTCCTGCTCTGGTGCCGATTTAAATCTGGAAGTTGCACATGATTGAAATAATTTACTTTTTTGTTCTCCCTGATTATTTCATCTCTTCTTCCTCCCTTCGTGCAGGAAACCACTAGAGTGGGAGGGAGTCGGATGGTGAGAAGTTGTCTAAAAAAAGTGAACATACGTACATGAGGACGATGCGTGGATAAAACAATTTTCCCCTGATTGAAGGAAAGCGGAGAGTAATGAGTAGCAACGAAGCGATGATAAATGATCCCAGTTAACGCACATGATCCAGCCCCGTGGAAAAGCAGTTAGCGGTGGTGGTGGTGGTGGTGGTGGTGCAGGCGGAGAGAGAACCTAGCTTTCTCTTCCTCCATCCAGCCAAGTGAGCACCCGTCCGTCGGTGAGTTTAAGCGTGTGGCGAGGGTGAAAGTTGGCCATACCAGTTGTGGAAGTGACACTGGAACTATGGATTACTCTGAGATTTCATCTACACTCCACTGACTTGGTTTAATTGAACACCAATCCAACCCGCTCTCGCTTTCTCTCTCAACCAACTTGACACTCTTAACACTCTCCTCCAAATTACTGTGCTTTGCACAAGGGCGATTATTACGGATACTAAATAAGCCATATCCAACCATCCCTCTTCCTGCCTACCTCAACAATTATTTGTGACACTTTCATCGCTATCAATCAATCTTGGCGGCTGCGGCGGAGGTGTGTGACATTGCTTTGAGCACGATTTAACTCTGTAATATTTACCTACCTATTTTGTGGAGGTGAATTTAGTCGTAAAAGCTCTATGACAATTTCCCTGAAACGTAAACTAATGCCTGTGCAAAAAGTTCGTTGTACTTCTGAGAAGCGAAAAGGGCAGGCTCTCAAGTGACTCGAGTTCAGCTTAAAAATTGAATCTTCGTCGATTAGCGATAAGTGTAAAGAATCCGACCAAGAGGAAAATCTTCACGGATCTCGAATTGGAGTCAACAGAAATAGATTGTCGAGAGTATAAGAAAAGGCGAGTGGGAAAGAATATCTGCTCTGCTTCGTATAGGACTTAGTTGTATGTTAGCTGCTAGTTTGGATGTTGAATTGGTTTGTCGGACCAACTTGGCACAAGAATTGGATTGCAAGAGTCACAACTCAAATGCACATAAATCAGGGGGATTCTCAAGATTACCGATTTGGCTGAGGAAAACACATAGGACACTGAGTAAAATTCAATTAGAGCTCAACTGAACTATCGCCATTATCATTCCGAAGAAGTTCCTTTCTCTGATACGACCAACATTGCGGCAGTAGAAGAAGAAGGACGACCAAGAGTTAGTCTCAGTTTGAGTGAAGTGTGTGAGGAAAGTGCATATTTTTTAGTCAACCGACCGAGAGGAGGGTGTTGAAGTGGGGCTGTCAAAAGGAAACAAGCCTCATCAAAGGAGCGGACAAAAAAAAGTTATGCACGAAAATTCCCAAAATGCCTCAGAAACTATAAATATTCAACTTTTCTCGTGTGGAACCAAGCACGTTTAACGAACTGGTTATTTTGTTGTAAATTAATTACAATAACAACAAGAAGGAACTGTATATACTCCAAACAGGAGGTGACTTTGTAAATTTCGCCGAGTTTGTGACCTCAATTAGCTCTGATTGTAACCGAATAAAGGTGCTCGATACAAGGGCAGGGACAAGATTTGGTTAAAGTCAAATCAAAATAAAGGGTCAACCTCAAAACCTGGTCCTCATTTCTCTCTCTCAAGCTGCTCACCTAGCTACATATTTGTCCTGATACTACCAAGATCAGAGGAACAAATGAAATTTCGACAACCCTGTTTGTAACCCAGGAGGAAGCGGAAGAAAGAAAACTTGTCCATCTTATTTGTCTCATACAAACAAACTAAGTCGTTGTTTTCTGTGGGAATTTACACGAACTGCTCGAGTAACCCCTTTGTAGTCAATTGAGCAGAGATGATGATAATATCATTTGCCCACTGAACTGTACATGTACGACCATCAGGATGATCACTTTCTCCTCAAGTCTACACTAACCTTGGCAATTCTCCTTTAAAACTTTTAGTACAAAGACATCAAGAACAACTAGACGAAAATGGAAGACTTTCACAACGCCAATTTGAGCTTCTTCCCAGAAGATCTTGCCAATGACTCGTCCTTTGAAAATTTCACGGACTTTCTCAACGGGGGGAAAGTCGTGAGAATGGATGGAGGGTCAAAACCGCCAAATGGTCAGATGCTTCCATACAAATATGAGTTGGATATGTCCACTCAAATCGGTCTCTACTCTGCCATATTCCTCCTCGCCGTCGTTGGAAACTCTCTGGTCATCCTCACTCTGGTAGGAACCATACCCGTTAATTGCTTCTCCGTGTATCAAGTTAATTGCTAATCCATAAGTAATCAATCACGCATGATGCACGCCATAATAATAATAGAGTTTCAGCTATCATACAATTAAAATGTATCCAATTTAGGAAATGTAATTATTTTGCACATATTTCCAAAATTTCCAGGTCCAAAACCAAGGGATGCGAACAATTACGAATCTATTCCTGTTGAACCTGGCAATTGCTGATCTGCTCGTGGGCGTCTTCTGCATGCCCTTCACACTGGTTGGTATCGTTCTCAAGGATTTCGTCTTTGGCTCCTTTCTTTGCAAACTCATCCCGTATCTTCAAGGTATGTACATACATTTACGATTCAATCCACTTGCTACATACAACCATCCAGGATTTCTGTACCGGAAGGTACAGAAAGGAAATTGTCCTAGAAAAGTGTGTGTAACATCTGCCTATGTGCCGTGAACCCATCTCAGCTACTTCCCAGCAGAGTTGAAATCCAATTGTTCAATGGGGATTTGAGATCCTTTTTTTCTCTTAACTCGCCCCAAAAAACTGGAAATCCTAAAAACTCAACCAGATTCCAAACTAGGCATAAGCTCCGTCTCCATTATTGCCATTTTTGCATAATATATGTATGACAAAAAAAGTGATATCATATTTTGCCGAATATCATTTCTTCCACCTACATAAACTACCTACTAAATACTATTCACTCATGAAAACTATGTAACTTCGGCTTTTGTTGTTGTTTTGTTATGAACTAATTTATTCACTACTTTGCTACTTGGCAGGACAAGTAATGTGATAATGGGGGAGGGGGATAAGTTACATATGATGTTATCGTCGCTTGGATCAAAATTATGTTCACTTGTCGTGACTTGGGTGGGAATTGAAATTGGAGCTGAAGAGTGGGCAGACAGATCGATATAAACAAATAATTATCACATTTGTCAAATCTTTTGTTTATCAAAAAACTGCCGTCCAACTTGGTCACAACTTGTCTCAGTCGGTGCTTGTACGCACAATAGAATATTAAAAAAGTCAGTATTTGGCGAGTCGTATGTACGTTTCTTTCCTCTCTTGGTAAGAATGGGATTAGCATTATTCTCGTCGTAAGAGGTTTATCTCGAATCGAAAATGGGTCTGCTGACCATCGTCGTTAAATTAATTGCTCACGTGGAGCTAGTTAGAGGTCTGACAAAGGTTCAGAAAATCCAGCCGTGGAATTATTATTATTTACAGTTCGCCCAGTAGTTGCTTGGAGTATGAATGATGTGAGACAGCATTATGTGTTGTTTTGTCATGTACGAGAGCGACATTATTTTTCACTTTAATTTGCTTCCTCTTATGGTTACATCCATTCCAACAAACAGCTCCATGTCCAGTCCAGTCGTGTGCCTTGTTAGCCTCCATTCTCCCATGCTAGACAACCTTGGGCAATTCTGGCTCAGTTTTATGTAATGCGAAGAATAAATCCGAATGGGTTATTGCATGATACAAAAACTAACTTCTCCCATGTACGATAGGCAACGAAATGTGTGCGGTTCTTGGCACTAGATTATCAAATTCAAAGCCCACACACACGCGAAAGTCTGGATATGATCCATCTTAATCATGCCGTCCAACTCTGATAATAAGATAATGATGACTATAGCCTCTCATAGTGTATGAAAATTGTATATCTTTTTGCTAGAGTTTGCGTAAATTTGCTTCCAAAGACGTCAATCTGCATGCGATACGTATTTATGTGGGCAACATGAAAGTGAGCCTCGTACCTTTGTACAGTACACCTACCTATTTTGCATGCGTATGTAAGATGCAATTATTTTTTTGGACTAAAGGTTAAACATTTAGGGTAAAAAATGTAAAAACAAAATTCAATCAAAGAGTTGGTGAAAGGTTGGACATTTTTGAGGAAATCCATTTTCTTGCGTAAACTTATGAAAGTTGGCTCGCTTGCAACATAGGTACGTTAAATTTAATAAGTGTTCCTGAAAACTTGGACCAGTTTCCTCCTCCTTGTTTTTGTGAATGATTGATCGTTATGAAATAACTGGTACGATCCTACCTACCTTTGACACCTTTCTTTACATGTAATTCACAACGTAATTCGTGCCCCTCCCCAGACTTCTAATTGATCGACTCAATTTCTTTTGATGCGAATGTACAAAGACACTTTTCCAAAAAATTGGCACGTGTGATGTGGTGTGAAAGTATCGTTTCACCGAACTTTTGGTTGTTACGTGTCGTGGAATTAAGGAGAGGAAATTCGGTTACATTTCGTCCCTGCGTCAAGGAAGAGGTAGGGCTGGATTCAATGGATGCACAATTTTTTGGTAGCATAGGAACACTCATCAGCCATCATACGTACATCTGAATGAACTCTCGTGGGAGACTGTTTTTTACTCTGTGGTAGCGAGGCTACAGTGATGGGGAAAAAATTGGCGAATTTAATAACGATTCTGAACGATTTGAATCACTTTCATGAAAAATGGTTTCGGAAATGAAATATGTAGCTACACATATCGTCGCTACCCCAGAGAGCGAATGGGGCGAATATACTTTTGCATTTCGCTGCTTCGTGATATGATTAGATTAATATAATCCAAAATCTGCCAGTGGATCAGGCATCGGTCCCCAATAGATCCTTCATATGACACAGAAGAGTGAGTGAGTGAGTGAGTATCCCGGATAATACGTATGCAGCCACATTTTCCATTAGATTTTCTTCCAGAACCAAGAAAAAAAAAGGTTTTCAAAGTCTCACTGGCTGAAAGTGGAGAAATTTCACATGGCACGAGTTACACTTGTTGTGCATGATTTGGTTTGGACCTTCGCCATCCGTTTTGATCTTGGGGATTCACAGAAGGGCTCGGGTTTCTAAGAAAACACGTAAAAATGAAAGTATTAGAGAAGGAAGCCAACCAACTGCGGTTCAAGTTTTTAGACCACAAGCTGTTTCTTGGGCACTCATATTGCAATATGATGTGTGTCTACTTCTGTATATAGTCTCCTATACGCATATTGGCAAAAAATTCCAATACTTTCTCCCTCTTTCTTTCTACCATTGCGTTGCATGGGTGGGTACAAAATATGCGAATAAGTATGTAACCTACATAAATACCAGTATTTCATACTTGCCTGCATAACACAGCAGCAGCAGCAACAATCGTGCGGATGGGTAAGCAATTTTCAATCTGGAAAATGTTGGCACAATAAAACTTGTTATTGACCAATAAACGAGGTAACAAATTAAATTATGCAACAAGAGAGACACGAGAGGAAGTGGGAAACGCAGCGTGGCGTGGCTGGTGTGAATGTAAATGACTGTTAAGAATCTGTTGATGGGAGCAGAAGGAGGAGGCGAAGGAGGAGCGGATTTGAGTGGTACTTGTGGTTATACCACCGATGCGTTTGAAATTTATCTTTCGTAACAGACATAAATATTTGAGGCTGAGACAGTAGTCCCACGCCGTCAGAAAAAAATCAGCAACTTGCCATTGGAATAAATGGCGTTTTATTGCTCTATTTCTGCCTCCTCCAGAACATTACGCGTACATACAAGTTGGCTGGGTGTGCATACTTTCATGTCCTCCGATGCAATCAATTCAATTCGTCAGGTTGATTTAACCGTTAGTATGTTTTACGGCCGCTCTCCAAACTTTATGGTCCAGCATTTGTATTCCGACCCGCAACGTTTGTCAATTGTTGACGGGTGTGGTAGTGGTCGGCGTAGCGTCGTCGGCGTCGTGATGCAATGTGTTTTCCCTTTCGTCACCACCAGCACACTCTGTTCGGCTACTGCTTTTACTGTTATTGTATGCAATTCTTAAAAGATCAATCCATTCAGTATAGCGTTACGTCACGAGGTATTCAATACTATTGAGTTTTTATAGGTCAAAGTTGAGAAAGGGTATACATACGTACATACGTATTAGCTAATTTTAGCCAGAGATTTCCACTGGGGTGTGTGCGAACGTCATAATTCTCTTAAGCCTACATTCATCTCCGGTAAAGTGGGTGTTAAGAGTGAATCAGGTCTCAGGGGAGTCATATAAAGTCCATTTGGGGTTAAAGAATACATTATTTGCTAAAATCCACATTTAGTTGTCAATCTCAACTGTGTGATAAACTGGATCATTACTTTTAGTGACTTTTTGGAAATGTTGCATGTCGAGGATTTCAAGAAACTCTTGAAGTGATAGACAAATACATAAAATAAAACTTAACTGTGTCACTTTATGGTTGTTTGATTAGTTTAAATAAAATTGGGCCACGTCTCCAGACCGAGGAAAGAGATTCTCACTACCTAAATCGTCTCCCCTTTCTCTTCTACACCATCGCATCATCATGTAGTAAACTACCCAGTTGCAAATACTGTGTTGAAAATGGAATTGGGAATTGTAACTAAACTCTGGGGAATTTGCAACTCTATTCATAAATACGCATACACAATCATGCTTACGAGGGAACCTCTTATAGTGCCCGGAGCTCCCAGCATATCCACTATATACATTAGACGCAGTTTTTAATACTAGTCCTACGATGTGACAAAATTTCCGTGTCAAAATGACATTTGGTCAAACGGTGACGATTTTAGTGACGCGCCGAGCGGTCATTTCGCCATGCTTTTAGAAGCGCAGGTACAGTTTCAGCACCCGCTTCTCATTCATCTCACTGCAATCTCAACCCATTTACTCACCGATGAGACTGGCATCTAATTTTACTATGTATATTTACAATATCATTAAAATTTATTTATTATTTACAACTTTTCAATATTGTTTTTCCTTTCAAATATTGGAGCTTAAAAACTACGGCAAGTTCTTAATTTAAACAAATAGAGGGATTTATTATTCAAAAAGGGGGGTGAACATTTTGTAACTTTTAAATTCGAACGGAAAAAATAATATTGATAAGCTATAAATATTAAATTGTAATGATATTGTAAATATAGTTAAATTAAGTACCAGTGTGCTCGGTGAGTAAATGGGTTGAGATTGCAGTGAGATGAATGAGAAGCGGGTGCTGAAACTGTACCTGCGCTTCTAAAAGCATGGCGAAATGACCGCTCGGCGCGTCACTAAAATCGTCACCGTTTGACCAAATGTCATTTTGACACGGAAATTTTGTCACATCGTAGGACTAGTATTAAAAACTGCGTCTAATGTATATAGTGGATATGCTGGGAGCTCCGGGCACTATAAGAGGTTCCCTCGTTAGTTATTCTTGGGCCACTCACTTCCACCACAAACAGGAAGCCATCCACCTAATACGTAGACGATGGGCTGTGTTAAATGTAAAATAAGTTTATGTATGAAATTTATTGATTACGCG